TGGAATAGTATTTTCGTCTACACCCATAGAGCTGCTTACTTGACAAATGTCCATTTTCGATTCCGTCACTCGTGTGAGCGTAACTCTAAGCTCACGATCACCGAGACATATCCCGTAATGCCCGATCTTTCCCAGAGAAGTCGCAGGGGGTATGTTGTCAAGCATCACGTCTTGCTGTAAGCCAAGGAGGGGTTTTAACACTCTTTCCTTAGATACATCATTTTCATCTCCACTCGAAGAAGTGGTGGCACATTGTGATGACATTTCCACTTCAGCGAAGTCTTTGTCATCGGAGACTTCCATCCCTTCTACTCTACTTGTACTAGCCATCGCAATGTCGCCCAAACCCTTTTGTTGCAAGCTGGAATCTTGAAGGATCTTTCTTCCAGCAGGGACATTGTGTTTATGTAAAGTTTTTGTAGCCCTCTGCCCTCGTTTCTTTGCATTTCGCTTCTTTCTTCTTAAGTTAGCAGTTTTACCCATTTTGGTAGTCGAGGAACCACTAACTACGTCAATTTACTTGATTTACAATAATCACAATAAGAGACGCGAAGAAAAAACAAAACACAGCGAAAGTGAGGTTATGAGTATGACAATTCGCGCGCGCTTTTTGTATTCAAAAACAAAATATGGTCGCATTCAACTAATCAGTTTGTCCACATTTCTAAAGCAAGTTTTCACAACCATTGAATTTATAAAAGCCGCTTTACATTAGGCAATTTTAGTGCAATGCAAGGCTTGTGCTATGCAATCTAAAATTGCCTTGCATTGCTTTTACGGTTTTACATTTATGCAATTGTGTTGCAACTTTTGTGCAAGTTTAGAAAAGTGTTGCAGTACTGACAACATATTTTTCAAAAATTGAAACTTTTCAGTTTGTTTACACAGAAGGTTATTCATGAAACTTAATAAAATTGACCATTATAGGTATGAGCAAACAAAAGGAAATTAAGCTGGCTACAGCTTGTTATGTGGTGGCGCTTGCTATTAAAAAAAACACACAAAATAACACACGCGAAACCAAATAAATTGTGGTATTGACAAAATTACTAGAAAAGTTACTAGAACTTGCGCCAAACTTGCAAGTGAAATAGAACTTTCTCTATTTATTTTCTTGCACCTGAATTGCGTATGAACATGCGCAGTAACGTATCTCTAACTTGCATTGCTCTTGCATTGCACGAAAATTGCCTAATGTAAAGCGGCTTTAAGTTATAAATTCAATGTCACAACTTTCAGGAAATTAGTCCGGAAATTCACTCGAAGGAGGACGTATTGTCTACAAATGGTAACACCTATGAAACCCACGAGTTGAACACGGACGCTTTCTTTACATGAAATTATTATGTTCTCCTCGCATCAGTTCCTACCGAAGCAGGTGGCGCAGTGGATGCTATTCGGGAGCTTGTGGGTTCTATTCCCGCTGCCGATTCCTCTATTTTGTCAGAGGGTTTTCCTCAGACATACGTACACTCGCTAGAAATCTACGAGGCGAATGCTGGAGCAGTCGTAGTATTCCCCCTTAGCATCAAAACTTCGTCCATTCTTTTACCAGTAAAGAGAGACAGAAATTGCTTGATTTAGTGTAACTGTCTGCGTATATAAGTGTGGGATTCCCCCCCCCCCCCCCCCCCCATCTCCAATAAATATTTTCTTATTGCGCAATTTACAGAACTGCAAAAAGTGACGATCATTAAACTTACTGTATTTTTGCAACAACTGATGTGTGTGTTGCCTAAACACACAAAACCAATGCGAGCGCTCATGGTGGTCATAACCGTAACAAGCGTTGGAGACCGCCCGTTTAAAGTGAATTTGTAGGGCAAAATCTCTACATATTTGAGATTATGAACCAACATATTTTGGAAACCTAGGCTAGGACCCGCTACATTCGCGTTATTGGCACTTCACCTTTGCCTAGGTACCTACTGCAGAAGTAAGCGACACTAGCTAGTGCGGTCTAGTAAAGACTTTTTGTCGCCTAGTAGTCTGTAAGACTACAAGTGGCAAAAAAAAGTAATTTATTATTGCCAACTTCAAAGTCACTTGGAGACTCTAAAAGTCTAGGTATGGCACTTAGCCACTTACAATATAAAAATTATCATATTCTATAAAACTATCGAACGATTTTTGGTTGGTGGTCTGCCCGAGAGGTGTCTTCAGTCTTAGTGCGCCGACTGGAGCACACCAAAAATTTTATACTGGAGTGGAGCTTTCAGTATGGCACACAGATACTGGGTTCAGTGTCCCCAAGTGGAAGTTGTTTAAAACATGCTTTGAGATACTGACACACTGAGAGGTACAAATTAGCGCATAAGATGCAGGTATAAAAGAGTCACGTAAACAGTAAACAAGGCGTCGTGGACCAGTTCACCTGGACAGTGGGGGACGGCCTAGGCAACACTCTTCAAAGGCAAGAAGTCCTACAGAGATTTGAAGTTTGGAACCGCCATAACAACTGCGTTGCGTTAAAAATTGTCCGCTGAAACAACAGTGATTCTCGTAGATAATTATATGTATGTAACCTATCGTATGGCTGGCATTTCCAAGGTACACGTCTTCAGGTCGCATCCACAGCCGCGTCTGTGTGACCTAACGACAGTTGTGATATGGCTGCCAAGTGCCAAGCCCAACAGCTTTACTTGCCCTCCGAACCATGTCAGTTAGTCAGAAGATGTTCTGTACCACTAGAAACTGGCAAGTTGTGGGATTCGAACTCGCAACCGGTGAGGTTAGAATCCGAGCCTTGAACCGTGTCGCCAAACTGATGGCACGAGAAGCTTACTCGAATGCGTGAGGAAACTAGGAGGCATTTTAATGTGACCGTGCACCCTGGGCACACGCAACAAAATTACCTTTAGGCACGGTAAGCTCAAGAAAAGTAGAGATGGGTCGGGGTGACTAATGGGACTTTTTTCTACTGCTAGTCAACAAAGGAAAAATAAATAAGTGAATCGGATAGGCGCCACTTGGTCTTATAAAAAATGTAAAAAAAAGAAAATTCTACTACTACCCCGACCAAACAAAAAGTCAAGATTAACATCTTCCCATAAAACTACTGCGTCTTCGACGATAACACGTGCCTTAAGGCGAGTAACCTTTCTTCCATGAATCGATCAGTACTTATTTGTAAAAGGTCATATTTATGTGTACAAAGGATACTCTTATAACTAAGAAACTTAGGCAGCCCTTGCGCATACCTGCTTTTTAAAATATGCGATATGTTTGCCTTCAGATACTATAAGAATCAATATCTCCATATATAAGGATGTTGACATTACGCAGTATGCGCATTCGCCAATCTGATTTCCACAGTATGCGATATGCTTGTCTTTACTAAAAGTATGGTTAACATTTCAAAAAAACATCTAAATAAATATTAAAAATGGTATTGCGCAGTTTGCACATGCGCACATCTGATTTTTACAATATGCGATATGTTTGTCTTTCTTAGAACAATCTTTGGTTAAAATTTCAAAAAATATCTCTATAAATATAAGAAAGTTGACTTTACGCAGTTTGAGCATGCGCACTTTAATCGCCAAGATTTTTCTTGGTTCACATGCCAGAACTACACGGTGTCCATTTTTCGAGTGCCACTATGGGGATCTCCCTTATCTTAAGAGATTTGGTTAAATGAGGGCAAGGTTGCGAATTTTCGTGCTGATCTGAAAAGAAATTGAAAATATCTTCAATAGTTTTGAAAATTTTTTTCATGATAAACTAATCATACTAGACGTTTCTAATTAACACATTATTCAGACACTTTTTGATGGAGATTTCGAATATGGCATCCCGTTTTTGATAACTGGCACTCGAAAAATGGACACCGTGTATAGGCTACTACCGAATGCAAGAAGAACGAACTAAATATCTTGAACATTGTGGTAGTAGTTAAGGCCTGGGACGGACGGACGGTCGGAGAGAGTAGTCATAATACCGCCTTTTACAACATATATGCGTTGGAAAATGCGCTAAAAACCGGGAGGCATTTGGCAAAGATGGCATAATGAGCTTCTGACATATGGATATACTTAGTACACCATTGATACAAGAACTGATTAGGTTTTTTAAGAAAAACTGAAAAAAGGAAAACAATATAAGATAGCACAAAGTATGTTAATTATGCTATTCGAAAAAGGAAATAAAAGCGACCCAAAAAATTATCGAAGATTCATAACAGATAAAATTAGCAAGGACATAAAATAGCGGACGAACAACGCAGGGCTTTAGCTTTAGCATATGGAAGATCATGTAGAGAAGCAATTTTTGTAATGAGACAAATAAACAGAGAGCGATGGAACATAAATAGCCAGCATTTTGGTGGTTCATTGATTTGAAAATGGCCTTTGAGTAGGACATGAGGACACTAATTGTCATATAGCAGAAACATCCCTATAGACGTAGTTAAAACTATTGAAAATAGTCATTATATGTATATGTATGGCCATTGAATAAAAACACTTTTTTTTGTTCAATGGTATGGCGTTATTTCGTAACCTAAACTAGGCAACTTTACATACTCCGGTCAAAGAATGTTTTTTGGTCCATAGGCGCCTTAAACTAAAAAGTTGTCCGTCGAACATTGAAGCTTTTCTTAGCCCTTTCAAAAAGTAAGTTAGAATTTGTTAAATATCTCAGTTTCTTTACACACCCCCGCACGCTAAGGATTTAAAAAGAATGTACAAAATTGAAACCGGTGTGCCCAATGGTAACGCCGCCCCTCTATGCGCAGGTGACATAACAAACCGTAACTGCCAAAAGAAATATTTTTGGGCCTCATTGCATTTGGAGATTATTATATTTTACATTTTCTGTAACCACTTCTTTGCAATAAATGATGTCAGGTGTCGGTTTTTGGTAAATAGTCGACGCATGTAGGAGGAAAACGATTAAATTGCGAAATTTGCTCATACACCGTGTTGTTAACATATAAACACCTTAAAGGAATCAAGGTCGACGCCTATGTAAACCAGACAAGTAGATAATTGATGTTCTTTGGGTGCCGTGTTATGCTTAGTTTATTAATTTTTGTTTCATGGGTTTTTTAATGTAGCGAGTGGTGATATTAATTCGGAAGAAGTTTGTGGCGCTGAATGTAGGTGATCGTTTCGGTTGGAATTTTTACAACCCCATAGTATTTAAAACGTGGCACTAAAGAATTTGAAGTATTTGGCGGTCGTAGCGAGGTGGACGATTGGAGGAACTAGTCGTGGCCACTCCCTTTACTATAAGAGAATGGTTCATCAAATATCCATTTGGCGCGCTATAATCGTTTTTCGCCGTTACAAAAGTGTGGGTTCATTTACATAGTATCGAAACTGTGTGTGAGCGCGCAACCTATTCCAAATGTGCTGAAAACTAAGACTAGTGTAAAAATCATATTAAGTCCGTAGATGAGTGGTAGGGGTGTTAATGGTGACAAATCGGAGCGACAGGCATGTCAAGGTATGTAATTCGCTATTTTATTATTGTCGATTCTAGCCACGTATGAAGCCCTACCTGCTTCTCAGGTAAACCGTCTACCTTTCTTGAGAACTCGATTACATTTTCTTATTATTTATTAGAATGGGATGTTTCCGAATTAAAGGGGCACATCACTCAGGAATTTGTTATTTGGATACCTTTACGCCCGCAAGGTGCAATATACTTTTTTACGTCAATTAAAAAAGTTGCGCTATTAATTTATTTAGGGCTGTAAATTTTGAATCAATTGGTATCTTTCCTGGTTCTTTCTCGCCCCAAATTGTAAGGAAATTACTTTCATAAAAGTGCGCGAAGTTACCGAAATTTTCATTGGGTGCATTATTTTGAAAATTAATTAAAAAATCGCTCGGCAGGTGCACTAAGATGATGTAAACCGACAACATTTGTCCGTTGCGACAGTTGGCTGGTGACTTCCTTTAGTATTTCCTATTCAAATGTAAAAAGAACCAGTTCTTCCAATTCTCATGAATCATATTACATAATTTCAAAATTACTTGTGTTTACGTTACCGAAAACGAGGTCAGTTTGCGTACTGACATTCAAGTACCCAGCTGAAATGTCATCAAGTAAGTACTGCCGGCCAAGTACCTCGGTAAATATCAAAATTTTTCACTAGCTTATAATTATATTTTCTTACTGTTTGATCAATAAAATTATCCGGTTCTCTTCAGCTACAGTATCCATTAAAAAAACGCGGTGGTATGCGAGCGCGTTTCTTCTGAGAGATATTCTTGCCAAACCACGTGCTTTATAGAATCACACTTTTTAAGTAACAGCGAAAATCGGTCGCCACTTTCGTTCATCATGCAACCCTTTGGGTGTTATTTGCTTATATTACTCACCTGGTTAAAAAGTTTGACGGAAGCCCCAATTTCATTTTGCGCCAAATGCACCCCATGAACGAACTTTCATGGGAAGAACGTATATGGCAAATTAGAGGAAGTGCTAAATTTTTGTATTGAAAACGAAGTGTTAAAACTTTCTTCTAAAACTCTTGAGGTTTTATTAGAACGAGCTGGTAGGTATATATTTTCATCACAAAAGTGGCTAATTCCATCTATTTACGTAATGAGTGTTACCCAGTTTTCAGATCAATATCACTTTCCAGTAAGAAGTAGCCGAAGACAGGGACAGATGGGAGACGGCGACCTAAGATATTTTAGGATTCTTTTACTTACTCCAGCCCATGAATAGATAGAGGAAGCAGTGTACGGAGATATTTTGCTGCACATTGCCCATAACCCATAACTAGAAGGAATTTTTACCAACAATTTAGATTTAAAGCACCTTGTTCGGTGAAAGGTAAACTTGAAGATCGAAAGTAATATCATTTCTTGTGGTATTTTCTAATTAGGTTTGTTCCACATGGGAAGAATTCATGATGAGTCGATCAGTGGTGTATTATTGGCTAAGGTGTGTTAATAGTGACTCAGAGAGTATAAGTAGCTACCTGGACTCTAGAGCAACAAATTCTATGGGACAACAGGTGCGGAAAATTTGTAGAGCGACCTCTGTTTCTCCACCACAGTGTAGACATCTTCGACAAGAAGTTGAATTGGTGGTAGATGGTAGAAATCGAGGTAGAAATCATAAATCATTCAGAAGTATACTCAGAACTGGTTTGCACAATAGACAGCGTGCTACAATGGCGTTAGCATTTAAAAGAGCGCTTTACTGTCCACGGAGAAAAATGTAAATGAAAAACATTCTGGGGACAAATCAAGCAAGCAAAGTCCCGAAAGGCTATAGGGACACGAGCAAGACACCAGTACTGGTTAATATATCACAGGAATATTTTCATAAATGGGAAATGACACTGCGCATGTGCGTATTTATAATAAAGTTGACGTTGCCGAGCCCGCACATGCGCGGATTTGATTTTTGCTGTCTACCTACGCTACACGTTTGTTTTTATTAGAACTAAAAAATATCTATACCAAAATAAGAAAGTTGGCTTTGCGATTTGCGATATAAATTGGATTTACTAGAAGCATCTGTGGTTAAAATTCTTAGGTCAAAGTCTGCGCACGCGCACTGCTCATTTTTAGTATTTGCGTCTGTTGTTAAAATTTCGAGAAAATATATGTATATAAGAAAATTGACATTAAACTGTCTGCGCATGAGCACATTAATCAAGATTTTTCTTGGCTCAAAGTGCCAAAGAACCGAATACAAAATGAACCAACTAAAGGTTTCACTACAAGGTTTCAAAAATACTTGGTTACATGCCGTTATGCGGACCACGAGCCACGGGCATGAAATTAATAACAAGGTTTTGATAGCGCGCGTATGCATAGAATTTATCCTAGAGCAGATTTCGGTACAAGACCTGGAAATCGACATCTTGGACGGTGACGGAAAGTCGACTTTTCCGCATCCGTGCGACCACGTGCGAACAAACATTGACGAGACCGTATTTTCTTCCTAATAATAATGGCAAACCAAATTTTGAAACTGGTGTTAGATTGGATTTTATTCCAAGTGCCTATGCATCAAATTTTATTTAAATCCTTTTGTAATAAAGAAAGTTGGAATTGCGCATGCGCAAGACAATATATTGAAAGCGACGTTAGTTTTATTTATATTCACAGTGTTTACTTGCATTCAAATATCTTGATAAATAAACAAAATTAGCATTTTTGGACACTGCGCATGCACAAAACCAAAAATATCGGAACGTCCGGGAACCCTCCATGCCCCATATCGCCCAAATCGGTTCATTCGTGTAGACGAAGTACGTGTGACAGACGGACGGATATACGACAAACTGCAACCAATTGCTATTTTTCACTTTGAGGAATCTACGCTAAAAACTGCTTGAAGGTATCTTAATTAAGAGTTTTCAACAAAAAAATTGCGGAAAAAGCCCGACCAAAAAAGGCGACCAACGGAAGATCCGACAGTTTCCGTTCCGTTATCGAGTATACAAGGCGGTCGATTGTAATCGGCGTTTGATACAAAAAAGGCGGCATATGGAAAATGCTACAGTTGGTCCTTACCCCATCGAGCGTACAAGGCGGTCGATACGAAAAAGGCGACCCATGAAAGATGCGACAGTGTCCCTTCCCCTATCAAATGTATAAGGCGGTGGATGGTAATCGGCGGTCGATACGAAAAATGCGGCCCATGGAAGATAAGAAAAAGGCGAATCATTGAAGGTGTGACAATTATCCCTTCCCTTAGCTAATATACGAGGCTGTCGAGGGTAATCGGCGGTTAATACGGAAAAAGTGCTCAATACAGGAAATGCGGTTGACACGAAAAAAGCGATCCTTGCTAGAAAAACGTAACCCTCCATACGACGTGGTTGTTCTCTGAAGAGTTCAAGTTGAATGTGTACGCTTCCAAAACTGTTTTTATTAAAGCATATCCACAAGTGCCATTTATTTTGTGTATAAGTCGAAGTAAACCAAAAATTGTATTGTCTACCTGTTACACTATATAATAACTGTTAATATACACGTTTAACTCAGCATATTTTAATTTAGTAGACGAGCAAGTTAGCATATCCCACAAAATGTAAGCTGTCATTTCTGAAGCTGTCGGGTTTTTCAGTGTTAGCAACTTCAGAATATTACCTTAAACCATGAGGAATGACGAAATATGAAGTAACAATGTGAGGTTACATTTCGATAAAATGAACGGCGTCTTCATCAAAACCAATCTGGCTGACTGCCCGCAGATGAACGAGCTTTTTTTACCGTCGTGAAAACGAGCAGTCATTTCGTTGTCTTTAGTATTTAAGGAACACCACTTCCACCATAAAATAATCTCCTTTACGAATTTCACATACCATCAATCACAATTAGACTCAATAACACCAGCTTCACCTCTTCAACATGAAACGCGCAATACTTACCCTATCTCTTAACAGCGATAAAACACGTGCGTTAATTCATTTTCGCCTAATAAAATCCGCACAAATAGCGGCAGGTGTGCGAAAGATCATATTGTGCAGTTTATTTTTAGTCCAGTATCCCAGTTTTCAGGATCACAGACTTCATGGTAACTTTAAAATTTCCGTCTTCCTTTAACCACAGAAGCTTCTAGTAAAGGCAAACAAATCTCATATAGGCAAAAGCAGATGTGCGTATGCGTAGACTGCGCAATGCCAACTCCTTATTTGTGGGAAATTTTAACTAAACATCCTTCTAAAGTAAAGGCAAACATATCGCATATTTTAAACATCAGATGTGAGCATGCGCAATGCCCACTTGCTCATTAATGGAGACTTTTCTTTGCAATTTTAAGCACAGGTGCTTCTAGTAAGGAAAAACATAGCTCGCATAGCTATGGCCTTTTGGGAAATACTGATCAATGGCATGGAAAATGCGAAAACCTTTTTTAATAATTTTTTTAATACGCTTATTTTATCGTTACACCCAACTTGCGTTCACGTTTCCTATGCAGCGGTACATATGTAAATTTTTAAATATGACGAGCAACATTAGCTCATCTTCCACGCATTGATCGGTATTTCCCAAAAGGCCATACCTATGTGAACTATGTTCGGCTTTACTAGAACCATCTGTGGTTAAAATTTCAAAAAATCTTAATAAATAAAAAAGTTGGCATTGCGCACTGAAGTTAATAAAGATGAAAACGGTAGAAGTAGTTAAGGCCTCGGACGGACGGAGGGACAGAGAAAGTGGCTGCAATAGCGCAACCAACCGATGTTATACCTAATATGTTTTTATGTATTGTGGTGTATCCAGACCAGTCCCAAGAGACTGCGCAACTCAAGATTTTAATTCAAAACTTTCCCTCCCAAACTAATTGAACCATTTGAACCCCATGCCACATGATAGTCTAGACAAAGCTACCTAACCTCAATAACAAATACCAGGATCACTTACACTACGTTGTGTTTTAAAACTCGCTACGAGATATGTGTTGCCTGTCGGAGTGAGGATCAAGTAAGGAATATAAATAGAACAAGTACATGTTTTAAAAACGGAGATTTAATCCAAATAATTCACATTGCAAGATTCAGTTTATAAAGTGATAGTTCACCGAATACAAATATAACAATATGTGGGAAAAAAGAACTGACCAAGAAAAAAACCAGTTAACAAATTAATATTACCTAAACTTTGTAGCAAATTAGTTGTCTGTAATGACATAAATGTAGGTTATGATGGTTGTCAAAGTAAATTGTCGAATCATAGGTTCCACTGGCATTCCTAAAGAATTAATATTTGACACATATAACATAAAAAACAATCCTTAAAACATTACAAATAAATTCAAATTCACATAAGCTTGGATATTGGATGGCCAGTCCAAATCCCATACCGCGTAGTCTTTAGTTGCTCTGGTCATGACCTGTCAGCATTGTATGAAAACGCTAGGAGTTGGCCTCTCAGAAGAGCATTTCACACAGGATACAAAAAAACAAAAGGACACAACGAGAACACACCGTACGCTTTTAGCAGATCTCTGCGCAAGTGAGGCCGGGCTTGGCCAGCGCCCTCATGTTCCACTAAGCGTGACCCCAACTCTTTCATTCATTCATCTCTGGGGCCAGTCCAACCCAATACTTATAAAGTGCCGGGTTATAAAAGACCGAACGCCAGGCTCCCTACCTCATGAGTACATGACAGTAACACGATCAAAAGACCAAATCATGACAACAAAAATAACAGAGCAACCATCGACTCGCACGCATACATAATTATAAACAAAATATTGTAGGCTTCGATAGCAATGCCGGCAAGATGGCTCTTTTCTAAGACACAAAAAAACAGTACATATAAACATACATATATCTCTACGTATGTCAGGTGTGGACTTTTTGCCACCTTCATCTGCTACGTCAAATCGAGATTACATATCGAAATTAAATATAGCACAATACATATTCGAAACAAGCCACCCCGCCAAATATTAATAATCATAATTACCCAGTTCAAATAAATAGTAGGAGCATAACGTTAAGTATCACATTATAACAAAACAAAGGAACATGTCGGGGCAAAAAATTAGTATAAATAGTATTAATTCTCAATACCAAGTGCAATATGCAACAATCAACGACCTAACATACGTCATTTGCCATCAGATGAAGCACCCTGTAAATAGACAGTAACATATTCATGCAAAAAAATATGCTGTAATAAATTGAATTATAGATTAACAACGTAGTGTCGATGTTTCCAAATACAGCACATCCCCGAATCGCTATAATATTTATTACACCGTTTAATTCTGCATACTCGTATTGAATACCATCCCTAAGAGAACATACTGTATCTAAATATAAATAAAAACACGTAAATCGGTCAGAAATTCATGTTACGGGTTGGCTGGTAAAATCAGGACTAGGAACAAAGGGATACTGTCAATTGAAAAACAACATATTTACGTAGAATTTAATTGAAAGTATGATCAGCATAATTATAAAAGAGCAATTTGTATTTATAATGCGCTATAAATCACAATGCCCATGCTGTACTGGAATGTTGTTATTTTGGCCTATAATCTAACACAATCATATAGTTGCTAGATGGATGCAATAAATGTAAAGATAAAAGTATACGTTACTAGAGTAATTGTAATCGAAACAGTCACAGTAACTAGGTAATTGAAACGTAAAAATACCACTGCCCTGTGCCCTCAAATACATCTGCCCAAATTTCTCCTTTAAGCAAATCCTAGACGAAAATTGTTAATATCGACGCGCCCACAGGCATCGGTCGATATGGATCATTAACTTCCCTCGTATAACGTTGTTTGACACTTTTATTGTAAATTATAGCCCATTTGAATGTAGGGCAGAGAAGAAAAAAACACGTGTTCCACGGAAACGAAACATAGCGCAATCTTGAATTCCTTCGTTGCGGCCGGGGGCGGATTCGGGAATATTTAAATCGAATTTTAGCGGATAAATGCGGGTCCATTCCTTTTATGTAAGAATGTATAAAGGGCTCTTGAGAGATGTGGCGCACTCAATAATTTGGGCCAGCCGGCGCCCCCTTACGAACACACTACAAATTGTAAATGTGAGCAAAAGGCGTTATGTCCAAATCGATTTGGCCCGGCCGTGGTAAAGTGTTTTGCAGAAGAATCTGTGCAACATTTTATTCCCCATTGGTGGCTTTTAGATAGGCGGAACAAAGAACTATAACTGATAAGCGAAGATTATTTTCATTATCCCATTCCCACGCTACCCTCAACTAGAGGGACCAATGACAGTCCGGCTTTTAAAAAATTTCGTTGTGTCGGAACAATGCCACTTCTTCATTGATTACTGAGAAATGGAAGATTAATCGCTGGTTAATTGCATAAAGTGATTAAAACATAAATGCATACTTGTATAATTCATTCAATTAGTTTTATACAATGCGTTCTTTCATTATGAGAGCTACGATAAACAGCCGTAGGGCGTTAACAGTTCGGTCTTATTGTACCAGCACTTCCTCTTCCTTAATCGTAAAAGTAGCAGTTTCCAAATTTCGTTCTAAATTATTTGACCCGCTAGTGAAGTTTATTACGTGTTACTAAATGGCACTGTGTGTTTCAGGTCATCTCGCCTAGAAATGCGTCCACTTCGTCGAGCATAAAGCGTTTCCGCATTACTTCAACGGTAGAAGATGGAATTGTTACGAGAACGCGGGCAGATTAGTTTGCGGTGCACATTATCGGTCGACCTGGTGAAAAATGAGGGATGAACATTTCAAGTATGTCTGTTTTTCAAACTATGTGGAAACATTATGTGAGTGATACAAATCATCGATACAAACGTACGTTGGAATATTAATGGAAGGTCTCGGATAACAGTTATCCGCGGACAAATGCCTGTACCACTACGAAATGCTGAAGCACATGTTAATAACGAACGGCGGCGTGGGCAACCGCTCGTCCCGACAGGATAACTCGATGGTACTGGAGCATCGTGTCGATCAAGTTGCCCATAGATACAGATCACCAATGGCGAACACCTCCAGAATCCAGCAGTATCCTCTGAACGTATCCCAGTTGACGCACACGACCAATTTGGACAACTCGAAGCACTCCATAGGGAACTCGCTGTTGTCGACGGGAAATAAAACTTTGAACGGGGGCCTCAACATTTCGAGGGTGCGCAATCCGAGTACCGTCAACAAATTTATCACCAAGTCGAAACAAATAGGTGTTAAGGAAATGCTAGTGAGTTTGGGACTTTTATGTTTGGTCAGTTTGCTGTTAGCGTTGTTGTCGTTAATTTTTTTATTAAAAATTTCACCTGTAACAGCTCACGATATTAGAGAACTGTTGAGGGCGGAACAATTAACTGTGATTACTGCTGAGGAATATGTGGTGGTGTACGAGGTAACTTTAGCATTATGTGCGCTGACTCTATCCCTAAATCTGTGCTGTCTGCTGGTGTGCGCCATCCAGTTTCTTTTTGCCGTTAAATTAGTCAAAAGCCAACACGGAGGAAGTGACAGGTAAATTAATTTGTTATTTTTGCACTTCAAACTTATAGTAGAGTGCTCGTTGCAAAGAAAGTCGTCTAGAAATGACTTCCGTGGGGGTTTTGGTGTCACAAGCTGAAATTCACAAAAAATGAAAGGTCATCATATACTGATTCTAAATGTCAAGGCCGTCCAAAATCGGTCCATGCATTAGGGCACAAAACGCGAAAAACGAGTTAAGCACATGTACGGAAAGACGAAAAAATAACGAATTTTTTGGTATATAAATCAAAATTTTCTTTGTACAGTGAAAGTAATAATAAATTATCAAACGTTTCCAATTACATTGGGTTTTACGGAAGAATTAAACTTCAAACGCGATTATCTCAGTTCGATATCCCTAAAAATTTGACAAATTTTGAGCAACTTTTGCGTTTACATCGTATTATTTAATAAATGGAAGCCTATATCAAAAAGTTTTACTCTTAAAAAAAGTTTCGCTCATCGTTTATCTTTACATTGCACTGAGAATTATAATTTTATGTGCAATAGTAACCAAAATATGTAATTAAAAGTAAAACAACGAACTTTTTACTCACTTACAAACGAAGCGCTTTCGCTCCGGTGAATACAATCCATCTCTACATTTCCCGTAGCTCCATTTCGCTCTTACTCATAGGTACGTTCTCGACACGGGTCGGGTATACCAAAGCTTTGCCAATATAATTGATACAGATAATATTATTAATTACATAAATCAATGAATGTGAAACTCAAAAAGAGACCAAACCATAATTTTAAGAAACATAAAAAAAATTGTAGATACAGAACATCGCCTTATACTTACAACCCCAGGTAACTTTTTAAATGTGTCATACTAAATGATATGCACTTAATAACAAAACAATAATACCCTAAACTAACACGTAGCAGTAATGTGATTTCTTTTCCTAGGTAAGTGCATTAAAAGAATGACAAATAGAAAAAATTTGATTCCATTTATTTACAACCTTTTCGTCAACTGAGCATTCAGAATCGCCGTGCTCTTAGATGTGATGTCAGTAGAATTTTGCACGATCTTTGGACCATGCTGGGGCATAACTTACCCTTTATACATTCAGTGAGAATTTAGAACAGTTAAATTGTTAGGAATTGGCCGCAATGTGATGAAAATGGGCAAAAGTTCGCTTTTTCTACTAATATAAGTACTATTCATTGTGGGGGGCAATTTTGGACAGGGTGCCATATTTTGATTTAAAAACACACCCTTAAACAGTGAGTATTCTGTTGGTGGCAACTTATGGCTAACTTTTGTCCATTTTCATCACATTGCGGCCAATTCCTAACAATTTAACTGTTCTAAATTCTCACTGAATGTATAAAGGGTAAGTTATGCCCCAGCATGGTCCAAAGATCGTGCAAAATTCTACTGACATCACATCTAAGAGCACGGCGATTCTGAATGCTCAGTTGACGAAAAGGTTGTAAATAAATGGAATCAAATTTTTTCTATTTGTCATTCTTTTAATGCACTTACCTAGGAAAAGAAATCACATTACTGCTACGTGTTAGTTTAGGGTATTATTGTTTTGTTATTAAGTGCATATCATTTAGTATGACACATTTAAAAAGTTACCTGGGGTTGTAAGTATAAGGCGATGTTCTGTATCTACAATTTTTTTTATGTTTCTTAAAATTATGGTTTGGTCTCTTTTTGAGTTTCACATTCATTGATTTATGTAATTAATAATTATCTGTATCAATTATATTGGCAAAGCTTTGGTATACCCGTGTCGAGAACGTACCTATGAGTAAGAGCGAAATGGAGCTACGGGAAATGTAGAGATGGATTGTATTCACCGGAGCGAAAGCGCTTCGTTTGTAAGTGAGTAAAAAGTTCGTTGTTTTACTTTTAATTACATATTTTGGTTACTATTGCACATAAAATTATAATTCTCAGTGCAATGTAAAGATAAACGATAAGCGAAACTTTTTTTAAGAGTAAAACTTTTTGATATAGGCTTCCGTTTATTAAATAATACGATGTAAACGCAAAAGTTGCATTTTTAGGGATATCGAACTGAGATAATCGCGTTTGAAGTTTAATTCTTCCGTAAAACCCAATGTAATTGGAAACGTTTGATAATTTATTATTACTTTCACTGTACAAAGAAAATTTTGATTTATATACAAAAAAATTCGTTATTTTTTCTTCTTTCCGTACATGTGCTTAACTCGTTTTTTGCGTTTTGTGCCCTAATGCATGGTCCGATTTTGGACGGCCTTGACATTTAGAATCAGTATATGATGACCTTTCATTTTTTGTGAATTTCAGCTTGTGACACCAAAACCCCCACGGAAGTCATAATTTCTGCCACGGAGCACTCTACTATTAGAGGAAGTTAGAGATAGAGCGATCGGACGTCTATTACGTAAAAATTAGGAAGTTACGTTCCGCTTTTTACTTTTATACAAATCGAACGGTAGACAAGTTCGTCTAATTAGAGATTTTGGTAAAGAATACCATCTGGGCTGTTGCGTAAACTACTATAGAATGACGGAATGTGCGTCCGTTCTTGATTTTCTCATTGAAAGCCAAACGTTTTCATTTAATTGCTTGTTTATAACTGTGGTTTAAATACTAAGGTGCACGATATCTTAAAATCTTTCTCGACGTAATAAATTGTTGGATACCGCGAGCGCTTTTGTTTTTTTTTCTTTGGAAAAATGAGCGTGAAAGAGGCGCCGCGTGGTTTGCAGGTGTTGTCGACTTGTCAATGTAGCCGCAAGAAATATATATTGTTTAATAATTATAATAATACATATTGCGGCATTTTAGGTCAAGGTTGCTCAAAGTGCTACTTCATAAAACCATTGCGTCCATTATGAGCAATTACCTCATCATTTTACTTTTAATGTGTTTATTTGGGGAAGATACATACCACTATTACATTTGAACGAAAATTACGAATTTTAATTAACCTGAACAAGTGTTAAAGGCGTCGACAAGTAAGCAGAAGGGGGAAAGGCAACCTCCTTTCTGAAGTCACAAGCTTCTTCGCTCCCTAAAAAATGTACAAATATTACCTTTCCATTTCTTTATTACCTAAATAAGCTAGATAAGTCACCGGACATCGCACGACCGCCGTTTTGTTAGCATTCTATTCTATTCGCAGGGGAGCCCGACCGGGCAGCACTTAGGCACACCAGTGACCAGAGGCCCATTGTGCCTACTCCCTTTCTTCGCAACTGAGTTCAGAGCCCGTTCCTCTCAATGAAGGATAGGACCCTGTTTAACCTAAGTTGCTTCATCCTCCTCGGTTCCAGGTATCTCTCCAAGGAGTTGATATCTGTCCCTGATCAAAGCGTCACAATGACAGACCACTTTGCTCGGTAGTTTCATCTGCCTCGCCACAAAACCTGCACGTGGACTCCTCCGCGAGCTCAATGTTATGCAGGTGATAGTCGACCATCCAGTGTCCCGTAAGGACACCGGTGATCTTCCTAATCTGGCTTCTATTCAGTTTTACAAGCTTAGAAGACCCCGATTTGCCAAGGGGCCCTGTTAGAAAGGCCTTGGACTGTCGAAGTCCGGTTACTTGTTGCCACTGAGCCTGGAATTGACTGGTCAACCAGTCTTTAATCCTGGCCCTAACAACGGAGGGAGCAATCCCTAGGGTAGGCTCGGGTCCGACGAAGACTCCACCACTGTCTTCGCGAGCCAACTCGTCCGCCCTTTCATTGCCCCCTATTCCGCAGTGCCCTGGCACCCAAATCAAGCTTACCCTATTAGACTCACCTAATCTATCTAGAGTTCGCCTGCAATCAAGCGCCGTAGCTGATCAGAACCTGTCTACCGACAGCGCCCTCAACGCCGCCTGACTATCGCTGCATATGTATATATGCTTATTGCGGTAACCTCTACGGAGGTTTTCCTGTGCACAGGTCATGATCGCTAACATCTCTGACTGAAACACGGTGCTATGCTGACCAAGGGAGACGCTGACGCTGGCTCTCGGTCGATCACATATACAGGGTGTTTGGTAAACATGCGGCAAAAATGAAAGAGGTTATTCTTGGACTATTCTAATGATATTTTATCCTTTGATGATTTTTGAAAAAACGCATTCGAATAATGAGCCATGATAGAGGATTTCACAAACAACCGTTTAAGTAATAAGGGCAGAAATTACACATGTATCTTCGCAACGAAGCGTTTTTTCAAAAATCATCAAAGGATAAAATAACATTAGAATAGTCCAAGGAATAACCTCTTCATTTTTGCCGCATGTTTACCAAACACCTTGTATACCCATGCCTCCCCCTTTCTGTTTGGGCCCCGTCTGTAACCCACACGAGCCCCTCGGGTTTGAGGAACGGGCAATCCGAGTTCAGCCACTGCTCCCTATCCGGGAGAATGACTTTATAACGCTTTGGTCTTAGAAAGATAGCCCGGATCACATCCCTTCTTGCGAGGAGGGGATCGGTTCTGAGGGTTTCCTCCCAGTTCCGCCCGTGCCCAAGGCTGCCTCGATCCTTCCATTCGTTCCAATCGTTTAGCCGTATGGAAGCTTTCCGAGCCTCTGCCTCCACAGCTAAGTGTAAAAGCTCTAGTCCCAGACGTTCCTCCATGTCCAAGGTTGGCGTGGTTTTTAGGGCTCCAGTGACTCCCAGACAGGCGAGTCGCTGGACCTTTCCTAGCTGCTTCCTGTAGGTTACCCTGCGCATGGCAGGCCACCATACAAGTGCACCATACAGTATTATTGGCCTTATCACTGCAGTGTAAAGCCAGTATACCAGTCGAGGGTTCAAGCCCCACGTACAACCAAAAGCCCTTCTACATGCCCATGGCCTTTTTGCTTATGCGCTCACCTTTCCAGGTCAGGCGGATGTCAATGATAAGTCCCCGGTATTTCACTAACCTGGTCAGATCCAGTTGACGTCCTCGAAGAGCGAGCCCAGCAAGATCCGCTCTCCTTCTATTCGTGAATGAAACAACCTCGGTCCTTTCCGCGTTAACGGAAAGGCCATGG